CCACACCTCGCTCAGCCAGTGAGCGGGAACCGGTCTGTATGTGGGATCCGAACCCTCGGCGGGAGCGCCACCGCGCTCCCCAAGCGGCACACTGTAGCAGTGCGCCACCAGGCCGGCCCTACAAATATTTTCACTTATATATTAAGTAGTAAACACTGGAAATATATCAGAAAAATACAAAGAACGTACAACAGTTCTAAATTTAGGATAAAGTTGTCCTTAAGAGGCAACAAAGAAGAGAACTGAAGATGCAAGACACTACATGCCTCACATTCTTTGGTAAATTCTCTGTGGCTATTTTTTTTTTTTGTACGTTGTAAGCTTCTCAAAACTGCTTTCACCTCCCTCACAGTATTAACTAATGGAATTTCAGTACTTAACCCTGAGAGTTTATGTTCTCCTAACTGCTGGTGAAAGCAAGTCACAAAGATTCAGAAAAGGAGACAACTCCCTTCTGTTTTTTTCCTCCCTTCCTGTCTGTTGGATTTATAAAGTAGTCCAGATTCCTCCCTGCTCTCCTTTTGATCTCTCTGATGTTTGAGAGCTACAGGTTGGTTTTCTTTTGGTGGTTACTCTTTTAATATACATAAAAAGTCTAAAGTTATTTAGTTTTCCTTTCCTCCTCCTGGCAAGGACTGCTGTAAGTTTAAATTACTCAGTAAACTTCTCTGTTTTCCCCTCCCATATTGTTATTATCTAGTTAAGTTCCACATTAAAATTTTTTTTCATGGGCCGGCCTGTGGCTCACTTGGTAGAGTGCGGTGCTGATAACACCAAGGCCACGGGTTCCTCCCATATTGTTATTATCTAGTTAAGTTCCACATTAAAATTTTTTTTCATGGGCCGGCCTGTGGCTCACTTGGTAGAGTGAGGTGCTGATAACACCAAGGCCACGGGTTCAGATCCTATATAGGGATGGCCGGTTTGCTCACTGGCTGAGCATGGTGCTGACAACACCAAGCCAAGGGTTGAGATCCCCTTACCGGTCATCTTAAAAAAAAAAAAATTTTTTTTTCATTAAAAATTTTTTAAAAATCACTTGTTATAACTTTTTGTTTTTACACTCAACAGTAAATTTGCTGTCATATTTTTCAATTTTTGTGCTCACCATTACTTTCTGTATCCCATTCCTTTCTTATGGGTTCAATTTCCTTCTTTCTGAAGAACATTCGTTAGTAGTTTTTTCAAAATGAAGGCTTTTGAGTGGTAAAAGTTTTCCTGGCGTTTGAATAAAAATGTCTTTCTTTCATCCAGTCTTGAGTGCATGTAGTTGGGTTTGAAATTCTAGATTGACAGTTTCATTTCCTCAGCACTTTAATATTTCTCCACTGTCTTCTGGTATTGGTGGTTGGCATCTGTTAGAAATCTGCTAACAGTCAAATGGCTGTTCCTTTCCAGTATATTTATCTTTTTTTTCCTTTGATGGCTTTTAAGATTTTCTCTGAATCCCTGCAGTTACAGCATGATGTACTGAAGTGTAGATTTCTCCTTCTTTATCCTGCTCTGTAGTTGTAGCACTTTTAATATGAGGATTTGGGACTTCCTTCAATTTTTTTCAATACAGTTTCTCTACCATTCCCTTCACTTTGTTCTTTGAAAATCCTACTAGACAGATGTTGGAATTTCTCAATCTATTCTTCACAGCTTTTAATTGCTCTTTGACTTTAAAAAAAATGTCTCTTGATGCTGGATGAAATTCTCATCACTATCTTCAATTTACTAGTTCTCTTTTCATCTGTGTCCAATCTATACTTTAATTCCATGTGCTGTGCTTTGGTTTCAATGATTATATTTTTCATTTCCAAGACTCCAAATTAGTTGCCATATTCAAATGTCCTGTTTCATTTCTGCCTGTTTGTGTTTCATGATTTCTCGCTCTTTTTCAAAGGATGCTAGCTCATCAATTATCTCTTTGAGTATTCAAAACATATATAAAGTCTTGGTCAAGCTGTATACTGCATCTAAAATAAATATATGTATGTATATATCCCAATAGTTGACTTTGCTGGTGATCTTTCTTAGCAATGGATTTCTTTATGGATTTTGGAATTTAATTTATCAGAGAGTTTTGAATGGGAGGCTTTTCTTTTGGGATGTTTGTTTACTTCCCCTTATTTCCTTTTCTGTGTATAGCCTTCCCTGTCTAGCAGTTTTGCATTTGCTTCCTCCAGAGCCCCTGGCACAAGTCTGGAAAAAGTCTTATGGTGACTTTTTGGAGCAGCTGTTATTCATGAGTATACTGGGGATATCACATATCTGGTCACTGAGCAAGCAGATGGACACAAAGTTATGTCCTTGTTATCCCTAGGCCCACAACTTCCTATAAAACCATAGCCCTTGGCAGAAGATTGGCAATATTTTGTCTTAGTTTCTTTTCAAAAGTAGGTAAAGTTGCACCCCAGTCCCTGGCTTCAAGCAGAGAATCTGGCTCTGGCCCCTGGTCCCACAATGTGCACATTTGGTCTCTGTTACTTGTAGTCAAACTCTTGGGTGCCAACACCTTTTTTGGATAAAGTCCAGCAAGCCAAGCCTTCGGTTTCACTCACTATGTGGCATTTCTGGTCCATGAAGATATTTATCTTGTTTCTGGAAGCCCAACTTTGTCTTTTTGGTTTTCTCTTTTTATATTTTACCTGTCATTGCTATGTGTTTGGAGCAAAGGGAGTGAGGTGAAACATAAACTCAATGTGCCATTTTGACTAGAAAACTTACACAATCCCTTAGCACTATATTTGAACAAAATTTACTTATTAAAATGTATAAATAAGATTAACAGGGAACTTTAAAACCCCTTATCTATAACTAAATGATAAACTAATTACAAAATATTATTTTCATAAATGCAAATCCTAACTTGAGGTTTAAAATATACACACTTGAAAATAATTAAGCTCTATTTATTCTTTTTTTTTTTGTCCTTTTTGTCTTTTTTCGTGTCCGGCAACGGATCGCAACCCTCAGTGTCGCGCCCGGACCGGACCGGCAACGGGATCGCAACCCTCGGTGTTGCGCCCGCACCTCGCTCAGCCAGTGAGCGGGAACTGGTCTGTATGTGGGATCCGAACCCTTGGCGGGAGCACCACCACGCTCCCAAGCGGCGCACTGTAGCGGTGCGCCACCAGGCCGGCCCTAAGCTCTATTTATTCTAAAATAAGTCTACAAAACAGACAATATCGAACAACCTCTTTTACCTTTGAAATCAAATTAGTCCTACATGTGCAAGGAAGAAATGGGACTTTTAAACTAACATTTATCAGCTTTAACCAAAAGTAAAGTAAGAAACATTTCTCTTGAACTTAAAAAGACTATCAGCTAAATAGAAAAAAAAAAATTCTTATTATGCTCAGTGAAAAAGAAAGATTTATACCTTTTCACTTGTTAAAAATTTTGCAAAATATACATGCTCTCCTCCTGTTTTCAATTCTTCCATCTTTTTCCTTGAGGCCTGAGTATCATCCAATTTGTAACTCTTAAAAACAGCTAAAACTTCTTCAGAATACTGCAAAGTAAAAATATCAGTTAGTTTTATTTGGCATCATGGCCCAAAATATTCACTGCTTTTCTGTATCAAAATATCTAGAATTTATTCCCAGTCAATCATACATATATATTGTAAGGCATTTTAAACAAGAAAAATTATGATAGTAAAATGGGGGTAAAAACTAGTTTGTATGAGATTTCATGGTATTGTAAAAATAGTAATAAACTCTCTACTCCTGAAGAAATATGATTTCTCATGAAGTTTGTGTAATGGGCAAATAGAGAAAGGAATGCTTTGACAGTATACAGAAATTTACCAGTGAAATTGTTTAACTATCTGTGGAAATTCTCAAGCATTTCTTCTGCTAAAGACCCTGACCAAATAAAGCAGTAATGTTAAATTCTATCCAGTTGGAAGACAATTCCAGATGATTTCTCACTAATCCCTTAATCTAAATTAGGATGATGCCCTCCTTCCCCACCCAAAATTGCATAAAAAATAAAAACTATTAACTATAACACAGAACATACAGCATGCCACTTTAAGAGCCACCTATTTATCCTGGAGTTTGACTATGACAAAAAAGGACAATTGATTTTTAAGTAGCCAATAAAAAGAAATATAGAGAAATCTTCTAAAACAGGGGCTGGCAAACTTTTTCTGTAAAGGACCAGATAATAAGTATTTCAGGCTTTGTGGCCCACCCAGCCTCAGCTGTGACTACTCAATTATGCCATTATAGCACAAAAACAGCCACAGATAAATGAATGGTCATGGGTGTATTCCAATAAACCTTTGTTTACAAAAGCAGTAGGTTGGATTTGGCCCAAAGCCATAGTTTGTGGACCCCTGATTTAACAGGATACCTGAAATGATTTTGTGCAAAGATAGAATGTATTCTGTAAAAAATCATCAATTTATTTTGACAACACTCCCTATATTTAAAAAAACCTTCAGTCTGTAATTACTAACTTCAGTTCTTTATTTTTTTAATTTTTTTTATTTTTTTTGTCTTTTTCGTGACCAGTAAGGGGATCACAACCCTTGGCTTGGTGCCGCCCGCACCGCACTCAGCCAGTGAGCGCACCAGCCATACCTATATAGGATCCGAACCCGTGGCGGGAGCGCCGCTGTGCTCCCAAGTGCCGCACTCCCCCGCGTGCGCCACGGGCTAGGCCCTAACTTCAGTTCTTTAGATATTAATTTATAATTTAGCTTCTGTATATTAGGAAAATAGGTATAAAAACATAAGAGGCAGAATTACATAGTAAAAAGTATGCTGAGCAAGAGTAAGTTTTTATTTTTTATTTTATATTTTTTTCTTAATTTTATTTTGTCAATATACAATGAGGTTGATTATTGTGGCCCATTACCGAAACACCCCTCCCTCTTCCCTCTCCTCCCTCCCACCCAACAATGTCCATTCTGTTTGAGCAAGAGTAAGTTTTAGCTCTGCCATTAGCTGTAAAATACTGGGCTTTTGATAGTCTGTGACTGGTAACTCACCTTGAGAAAAGTTTTCCATGAAATCTTCTCATAGCATTGCACAGGGTTCCTGAAGTAATCCTGAAGTGACCAGAATTTTCGATACAGATTGTAATCAATTGGAATGGAGCTAATAAAATAAAAGTTATATTAAATAAATCATTTAAATTGTTTTAAAAATATCTAAATGTTTTTAATTTTTCTTGGGTCACAAACCCTTTTCAGAAGTTGATGAAACCTATGGTCTCTTTCCCCAGAAAAGTACACATTCAAAAATACTTATCTGAAATTTTATAAACAATTTCAGGGGACCCACAGACCTCCACAGAACATCTGGTGGAGTCCCTGAATTTTGGCTGGACACATAATTATTGAGAATTAAAGACTATGTTTCCCAACCTCTCTTGCTGCAAGGTGTGGCATGTGATTACCTTCTGGCCAACTAGTTGGGGAGGGAAGTCTTGTGCAACTTTTGGGCCATGCTTTAGCATTTGCCCCTTTTCCTTCCTGCTGGCTAGGATGCAGATGTGAGGGTGAGCAATCTTGCGTTATAACCAACGGGCAAACACCGAGGGATGGTGGAACAATAAGTCAGAAGAAACCTGGGTCCCTAGATAATCTCACTGAGTATTCCTGCCCTTCTAGCACTGGACTGCCTGTTCCTAGACTTTGACACAAGAAAGAAATCAACTTCTATGTTGTTTAAACCAGTATTAACCTAAATTGATGTTAAAAGTTACAGGCAAAGTTAAGAAGCCCTAGTATGAGACAAACATACAAGTTACATATCAAGTTAGTATATATAAAAAAAAAGCCCTTTCTCTAGTGACTTTTTATGGCATTACTAATTCAACTTTTTTTTTTTTTTTTCCCTTTTTGTCGTTTTTACTGACCGGTAACGGGATCGCAACCCTCAGTGTCACGCCCGCACCGGGGACTGGCAACGGGATCGCAACCCTCAGTGTCGCACCCGCACTGCGCTCAGCCAGTGAGCGGGAACCGGTCTCCACATGGGGTCCGAACCCTCAGCGGGAGCGCCGCCGCGCTCCCAAGCGGTGCACTCTCCAGTGCGCCACCGGGCCGGCCCACTAATTCAACTTTTAATCTGGCTATGCTACAAATCTACAGTGCCAATACAGGTTTTTTTTTTTTTTTTGTCCTTTTTGTGACCGGCCACACCGCACTCAGCCAGTGAGCGCACCGGCCATCCCCATATAGTATCCGAACCCGTGGCGGGAGCGCTGCTGCGCTCCCAGCGCCGCACTCTCCTGAGCGCGCCATGGGGGTCGGCCCAATATGTGTTTTTTTTAACTTTTAAATTTACAAGCAATCATTATACTAGACAATGTTTTCATTGTTAATGTTAAAACAAACATTTCACTATTTTTTATCTAAGAGATTGTTTTTAGTAAATTCCTCCATATCATTAAAAACAGCCAATGAAACCTTTTAGTATTACCCATATACCAAAAATGCTCAAGGTATCAGACTAGTTCATACTCTCAAATAGCCCCCCAAATTTTCAACATCATCTCTACAAAATTAATTTTGTCTTTAAACACTGTTGTGTGTTTCCTCATTCCATTCTTTCAAAATAAATCTTAATAAATTGAACCTATGAATTACGGTCAGCACTTTCTCTAAGCTTCAGGTCTATGAAAATATTCCAGATAAGAATGTAATCTTATATGGGAAACAGAAAGTTGGTTTAGTGATGTGCAATAGTACTGTGACCTTAAGAAGCCTACCTTCTTTATTCTGGCCAATTAAAAAAAAGAAGTTAATCCCCTATTTTTCATCTTTGAAATGGATACACTTAAAATTACTTTTCCTGGGCCGGCCCGGTGGCGCACTGCGCTAGTGCGCCACTTGGGAAGTGCAGAGGCGCTCCGGCCGAGGGTTCGGATCCCACATACAGACCGGTTCCCGCTCACTGGCTGAGCGAGGCGCGGGGGCAACACCGAGGGTTGCGATCCCGTTGCCGGTCCTCGGTCCGGTACGGGGGCAACACTGAGGGTTGCAATCCGTTGCCGGACACGGAAAAAGACAAAAGACCAAAAAAAAAAAAAAACCAAAAAAAAAAAAAAACCAAAAAAAAAAAAAAACCAAAAAAAAAAAAAAACCAAAAAAAAAAAAAAACCAAAAAAAAAAAAAAACCAAAAAAAAAAAAAAACCAAAAAAAAAAAAAAACCAAAAAAAAAAAAAAATTACTTTTCCTGATGACTAGGGAGTATCATGGGAAACATTACAATACTTTTTAAAGGATATAATAAAATAAACTGAGTATAATTTTTACCATGTACTTTTTAAAAGTTTCTTTTGGGGGTAGTGTTAATGTTTGAAAGACAGAAAAAATGCCTTTGTTTGTTTGTACATAAAGTAAGGAGGTTAGAGTAGAAAAGTATAAAATAATTAAATAGTCCAAAATTCAGTTTTCTATAAGAAAGTTTGAAAAGATATATATGTGATTTCAGAACAAAGGAAAAGTATTTTAGTAAAACATATGGAAGCACATTTGATGAAGAATCTCACCACAGGAATCTAATTCATATTAAGATCATAAACAAGTCAACATCATAAAAATCTTTTTAAAGAGTAATTTCATTAAATTTACATCAATTGTCAACTCAAGAAAAACATACACACATATCCGAAGTAATACATCATTTATCTTACACCAACACTTCTGACAACTTCAACTACCTGGAACAAAGCTGTAAATTTGGAAGTAATTGAAAAAGCAAGGAAACAGTGATCACAAAATTCATGCATTATATTTTGCAAAAGAGGCTTGAAATTATGCTTAGGTAGTCACCCAGATTACAATGGCTTTGAATTACATGTAATTTCGGGTAAATAATTTGGCAAGCTTAACCAATTTTGATAAAAGAATGCTAACTTTGCTAGAGTAACAGCTAGTATCTGAAACATGTGGATCTTGCTTCAAATAAATTAATAAAGAATACTGACTACTACTTCTAACTAACCAAAATCTAGCACCTGCCAAAAGTTTGATCAAGATTCAGCAGAATTTTAAAGAATCTAATGGGCATGTTAACTTTCACTCTTCTTAAACTCTTGCCCGGTAACAATAAGTCTGAAAACAGGGAAACAATGATGTGAACCTCAACCTCTCTCTACAGTTAAAGCTACTTCACTGACTTACAACAATAAGTTTATATCTCTGGGTTTTTTATGGTTTGAGTTAAAAAAAATAAATAAACAAAAACCCACAGAAAAAACATTTTCCAAAATGTGAAAAAAAGAAAAAGCACTATAAAAATTATTTATATCCATGAAACAATATCAAGAACCAAAATTTTATAGTGTCATACTTAATGTTTTTGAAACAAAACTGTTTTTGAAGATTATATACACACATATAAAGAATACATAAACACACACAAGATTATACACACACACAATTCTACTCAGTTACAACGTATAAGATTGAATATAATTAATACCTCTTGAAATGTAGTACTAGGAAAGTTTGTCTCAAGAAAAACGGATATAATACCTCTAAGAGAATGAGAACAAGTCCTTTCTTGGGGGGTGGGGGTGGGGCGGCTGGCCGGTACAGGGATTGAACCCTGGACCTTGGTGTTTTTGAGTCCTTTTTTGCCTTGGTTGCCAGGAAGTTCACTTCTAATTTAATGCTTGATACTGATAACAATCTTATTCCAAGTTGCTAATTATCATCTCCTACCTGTAAAGGCTTCCGATCTCTCCTTTTATCATTAGTTGGCTTGGTATGTGTTTGAGGTGCCTTACAGAATAAATTTTAAAGGCGTATTAACATGTTACTAGAAATTAATAGTTACTATTAGGAAATTTTTACAGTTGAGACATTAATATATTTTTTAAACAATCTACCTCTTGATGGTTTTACTCCCCCCACCCAGTAGGTGCTAGCCCCCTCTCTTTTCTTCTGTGGCTAAATAAACTTCTTGAAAAAGTCTATACTCCATGTAACCACTTTATTACTGTCCATTCATTCCTCAACCCACTGCAATTTGCCTTCACAAATTTCCACAGAAACTTTTGGATTTTCTATTTATCTACATAAAACAAATGTAACTAATTATTATATTTGCAAACAATAACAAATTAGAGGTGACAGTTACTATCTAAAATAGAATGTTTTGTAACTATTTTAACCAAAATACTAAGTAAAACTTCATATATATTTATATATATATATATATATTTTTTTTCCTTTTTGTCTTTTTTCGTGTCCGGCAACGGACCGCAACC